TTGGCCTATTTGTCATATAATAGCTTAAATTAGCTTTCTGAGTTAGTTGGGCCATCTCAGATTTGTGACACAATCCAGGGAGGAACTTCCCCTGTATGTGCAGCTCAGCAATCAAGTTGTTACCTGGATCCTACCAGCATAATTAGCATATATCAAACAAAGAATTAAATATAGTCCAATTCCTATTTTCCATTGTGTTTGGCATCAAAGAGTCAAGATTTAATCCAACTTAGAGAATCCATTGGTAATGACAGAATGAAACACTAAGTATTGCCACCCAAACCAAAGGGAAATATGACTGTACTTTTATTTTCTGTTTCCAGTGGTCTGGTACTCAATCCACCTGCACAAATTAGGCTGCAGAGGAACACAGTAGGGTTCTTTATTGCTGACTCCCTAAAGAAAGTCAGAAGGTAATTTTTCAAAATTACTTGATGGGGAAAAATGGTTAAAGGAAATACAGCTTCATGGGAGGAAGATTGGGTTCAGCACCATACCTCCTTGGTATTAAGCCTCACAAATCATTCTTGACTTGCTTTCTTTGTCCAGAGCCTACCTTTACTGTTCCATCTGTCACAGTGATGTGTATTCTCCAGAACAAATAGCAAAATGTGGCTGCAAAGGCAAGATCCGACGCCATATGACAGGTAATTGCACTTTATGTCTCATCATCCTTAGCCTAGCTTTCAGGTCTGGCCAAAGAAAGAGAAGAGGGGTCTATCCGTTAAAAAATAATGCTCAGTTAAAGTTGGCCAAGAGGTGTTAGATATTTTCCCATCGGACTTATAAGACTTGAGAATCAGTCTTTTAGTCTGCAAGAAACCTTGCTAGGTCTCTAGTGATCAATCCTCTCACAGGCCAAGCAAAATAGATTCGGTCACATTGTCCAAAGTCACAAAGCCAGTTAGTGACATTGCCACGCTGAATCCCAAGCATGCTGACTTTTTCACTGAAAATTCAGCCTGTATCTGAATTTTGCTTGGTTGACCATAAGAATGCCAACTCATAACCATTTCTTGAGGACTCTATTTTCTTAATGAATGGTGGTGAGCTTAAAGTGTACTCCTGACACAGTGATGATGGAATGGAATTTTCTCTATTCGTTTTAGTTGTATTCAATAGCTTACCAACAACCCCTGGGGGAAGAAAGATGAGACTTATGCATTCATGGTGAACCAAAAGACTCTGCTAGTTTAAAACTTAGTTCTTCTAAGTGCATTCTGATCCTTTGGGTAACACCGAATATACACTTAGTTGGTTCAAAGTGTGAATGTTCTATTACAACTATTCTAATCTCTATGATTCTTATTCTCTCCTCCCCAGAATGGTATTTAAATTCAAGAGTAACTTGCACAGTATCATGGTTATTCTCATAGGGGAGAGAAAATCCTCATGGATTCCTCTTCAGATTCGACATTCCCTTTGGTCTATAATTGTCACCTTCTGTCGAAAACTAAGAAATCTGTTCCTCCCAGTTTGGGTCATTTTCTCTCATTTGTTACTGAAATCCATTGTGGTCTTGAGATCTGCAAAACCCTTTTCAGTCTGGGTGGTGCCTGTGGCTCAAAGGAGTAGGGCACTGGCCCCATAGGCTGGAGGTGGCAGGTTCAAACCCAGCCCAGGCCAAAACTGCAAAAAAAAAAAAAAGAAAGAAAGAAAAAAAGAACACCTTTTCAGTCTTCCTACCTTTTTCATTCTTATGTTATTTTTTGCCTTTTATTTTTGGTTAACACTTAACACATAATTGTACATATTCTAATACTATGTATATGTATGATCAAATCAGGG